CCATAGTTCCTTACAAGACCACTTGCTACGTCTCCCTTCACTTCCGGACTTTTCCACAACCCTCACTTGTTATCAGGAAGCTTGCTACAAAGAAAAGTTATAGCCAGGCAAACCCACGAAATTCACGATACAAGCTGCTTTTATGGGTTAAGTTCAAACTGTTTTTGCATTTTGTACGATATATTTTGTACGTTATATTCCTAACTTATTCACGCTTTTAATGCACGATTTTAACACGGTACGATCTGACTGCGGATTTTGGGGTATTTTCGTTGCTTAATAAATGCGGAGACGCGTCCTGGCGTACACAAACGAAGGAAGGAAGGGGAAAGAACCCATGCATCGTGTCCATATTTCATCTTGGGCTTCCTCTCAGTTTCTCATAAATCATGAAAGGGGGGACGGGTACACAAAAAGGGGGTCGCACTTCACTCCTTGAATTCATCGCATGATGAAAGGGGAGGGGAAGAAAAGGTGAGAGGGAACGTTCTCCTATTCTACGTCAAGATATTCCACTTCCCTTGTACCTCTACTGGAGCCAAGTTGCTTGACCTCTACCGTATGCGGTTAATTGGGAACAATGGGCTTTTAAACGGTAGAGTGAGTGGCGAGGAGAATGAAAGACCATCTTCTCTTTTTGTGGCGGTCCCCCATGGATTTCCCTTTTTGTTCACTAGTTCACTTTCCCTTTTTCGTTTCTCTTGTTTGCATTTGGATGTCGGAAAGCATCTCCCTCGACGCCATATGAGAACCAGTAATATATAAATATATATGTACATGTAAATAATATTCTAAAAGGAGGAAACCTTGATGGAAAGAAGCAGATTCGCTCGAATGACCAGAGGAACAGGCTTGGATAAATAAAAAAAAAAGGGAAGCAAGGCGGAGCTTATGTGTAATGTGAAAGTACCGGATTGACGGGGTCGGGCCGCGGCGGTCCGCCCCGGTGATTTATTACTCTGTCCCTTCTCTTCTTTCCAGGGCATCGAGACAATGCCTGGAATGGACAGGTGACATCCAAGGGCGGAACTACGAGACGAACAAGGGGGAAACGGATGGAGAAAAAAAAAGGAGCGAAGTAAAGTAAGCAAAGGCAATGGCAAGCGGAGGAGCAATTACCAAAACGAGGGCTATTGGGGCATAACAGTTCCAAGTCAATGGTCCAAAGAAACGGAGCAAGAGAATAAAAATAGATGGAAACTATACGAGACCCCACCCCCCCCCCCCTTCTCAGTTGTCTTTTTTCCCTACCCCCTCCATGCCCTCTGCCAACTTCTCGCCTGTGCAAAAACTCATTTCCGTTTCCAAAGTCATCCACGTGCCGATACCAGCCTCGCCAACTGAGTAATTCGCTCCATATTAGTACTTTGTGAGAACATATGGTGGACAAGGATGTGCATATGACCTTTACAAAAATGTCGATGTCCATATATTGCAGTGGTCACCTTGAGAAGCCTTGACATGATTATGGGAAGACAATGTTATGTCTCTTCTTTGCCTACGCATTTTTGGACTTTTTTGGAGGTCACGTTCGTCTGCGAATTTTTTTTTCAGCAGAGACCTGCCATGCGGTCAGATATCCCAGTATAGATGGACGGAGATAGGAGAAGGGAAAAGGAGAGTTACGACATCCAACCACAAGGGGACATATGGGATAGGGACATTCCTTTCAGATGCATATCTCATGTGTTTACTCGACCTGGACCCATCTCTCTCTTTCTTTCAAGACCCTTCTCTTCCAGTCTTTTCTCCCGGCGACTCAGCTGATCCAAGGAGAACTTTTATTTTGCTTTATTGTATTTTTCGACATAGGCCGCACGCTACTTAGTTTGTATTTTTAGCTTTACTTCCGTGCTATTGAGTTTTATTTCATTTTACTACTCCCAAGTTGTATCTTAATGGGTTCAGTGACACGTGGAGGCCGTGATTTAGGCTCGTCCTAAACTTCCTACAAAGGGGGAGAAAAACGTAACCGGGGATTGGAGAACGTAAGCACGCATTACGACTGTGTGGTTGGGTTCCAAACGGAAATGGCACATTTGGTTCCCCCTCGTCTCCTCGCCCGGATTTGGCACACGTACAGCGCTTTTTTTCTCAGCCTTGGTTTCGAGACACGGAAAATGAAGCTAAACTCCATCCCTGCTGCAGGTCATAAAAGGCAGCCAGGTATGTCCACAAAAGAAGGTAGGTGCAATTAAGCTCAGCAGGCATCAAGGTACAGTGCGGAGGTCTAAAAGAGGGGGAAAAAAACCACATCGATTCTCTGGGACAAAAGACGAGAGAGTGGAGCAATTTCCTGGATCCCACTAATGCACTTCCGGACGCACATTAGATCCGCCATGTATATATCAAACTCATCACCCCTGTTTTAACGTTCGTGATTGTGATAGAGCACATTTGCATGGATCCGGTCCTGGACAATGAATGTGCCATGCTTGAAAAAGAAGGCCCTGATTATAATTCGCCAGGTGATGAACGTCTGAAGTGCGAACAGCTGAAGGACTTCAATGTCTGTCGCGGAAGAGGCTCTTGAGGAAGAAAACAAACATAAGATCCTCGTGGGTTGGTCTCACACTCCCTCAATTTCTATTCCCCTTCCTCTCTCTCTTTCGCACACACATCCATGCCGTCATAATTCGGCTTTAACATGTCATACGAGGGGAGGAACACTTTTTCGGTCTGTGATTCACCCACAAGGAGACGAGATAAGCCGTTGGCTAATAAATTTGGATTACTAGCATGGTCTCCCACGCAATGAATGGGCAGCCCCTTATCCATCGGTCGGATCTCTTTTTACCTCGTACAAATTGACCCCTCCCTTCACCTCTGGACTTATATGTTTATGAGCTCCGGGAACAGGTGGCAATTTCACTGGACCCCAGGGAACTACATTTACGAGTTTATCATGGAGCTTTAGAATGAGTGATAAAATGAGATGTTAACCTTCGTTTATATATGTACATGAGGTTCAATAAGGGATTCAGTTGCTGCATCACGTTTCATACCGCCATCAAAATGCTGTATTTCGCCTTATCTACGAACTTGACACATTTACTTCGTATTCATGTAACTTCATGAAACAAAAAAGTGCAGGTCTACAAGTTTAAGACCCATTATTTTCCCGTTAAAGTTCATAAGGAAAAAAAGATACTGGTACGTCGTAACAAGGGACCTTTCGTTTCCCTTGGACTTCAATAAGAAAATTTTTATGGGTTTTCAAGATGCTCGTGATTTTCTTCCCCAAGTACATTACTTCAGGAATTTCGAAACATCACGCAATTTCAATATTATATTGTCTTTTTATATACTATTACTTTATGTTTTCGTTTTTATTTCTTTTTACTTTTTCATTTTATTCATTCACGTTATACTATAATTCTTGGGGAACCCTATCAGCTTCCTCGATCTGTCACTGGAATGCCATGCTCGGGAAAGCCATATGCTTGATGTTGATCCAGGTGAGTTTGTGGACTGGAGCGTCTCCCGGCAGGTGCAAGATCTCAGGGAAGGAATCATAATGAGAGCACCCCGGGTGCATCCATCTTCCTCTTCTAACCACCCACCGGGGCGGGGGGGGGGGGGGGGGAAAGGATATATAATATATAATATGCCCTGGTTAACAGGGGGAGACAGAAAGCATGCAATCGATGGGGGGATTATTAATTGCCATGCATACGAGACTGGAGGCCCCTTTGGCAAGTTTTCTTCCTCTCCTTTAGGAGGTATCATTCGACTGCAGGTAGTAGCCCTCCCCAGGAGAGACGTGCATCTAATAACTCAGGCCTCCATGAATTATGATAATACACCTGGTTCCTCATACAAAGAAATATGATGGTTACCGCGGAACGACCCCACAGTGTGTTTAGATACTGCTTCCTGTTAATCTTTTCTTCTTACTCGAGCGAAAGTTAATTGAAAAGACGCGGAGATCGATGTCTATTCTCGACCGTGATGGCATTTATCTCCGGCTTATTTCGTCAGGCTTTGAAAGAATGGGATTCTAATGAGGCCACCTAGAGGTGTGACACCCGTGAACGACATCTATTCTGAGTTTGCATTTCGAAGAATAATTGTCTAACAGATGACACTGGTAAAGGGTCTGGCACGGTCCATCAGTAAGAGATATCGTCTCCGCGCGACGAACTGGCGCATGAGCATGACTATTTACAAGAAATGAGCTATAATTGTTTCTATTTGGCTGAATCTAGGTAATATTGCTGTCTGAAAGAATTGGTCATGTTGAATATAATATACTTAGAAAATACGCTGGCGCATTGACATGCCATGTCATGCCATGATGAGATTTCCCCCTTAAAGGTTAAAATGTTAATATTTCCATACCTACATGATGCGATTAAATAAAATAATTAATTTCCTCTCCTACCATTATTGGACAGCAATGCTGCCAATTGATCATCACTCATTATTGGCATAATTTCACCGCGGCGACAAACAAGCCATATACATTAGTGAGTATGAGGCCCAAGTTTGCAATTTAGGTACCCAATCAGTGCCATACTTTCTCAAGACTTTCTCAAGCAGACAATAATGCGATGCACCCAACGAGAAGTTCTGGAAAGATCTCTTTTTTTTTTTAAATACAAGTTCCCATCACACTTCTATCAGTGTTGGCATGGCTCTACAGCTCCAGAATGTGAAGAATGAGAATGACTATGAGGAGTCAGCTCTATACTGAAACGTGAAGTCATGATTTTGAACAGGAACCGCGTACAAAGAGAAGATAAGACTCATTTCACGCTTGGTGGAAGGAGCATGAAGGTCCTGAGAAAATATCTCACATTTGTCATAGTGAATCCTAATTTCGAAAGAAACTACTTCGCACAGCAAGTCTCCAACTTGCGTAATATATCATAAAGATGAATTCAGAATCTTGAATCGCTAAATTCTCCTTTCTTTTATCATGAAAGTCAACGATGATACCGATTTGAGAAATTGAGATTTTTAACATTTTCCCCGAATCCCTTAACGGAAGAACTCACCAACTCTCTCCCCGGCTGACGTGCTGAGCAACACTAAATCCGAACATAGTGTTGCTTTTCCCCTTATAGATGCGGGAGTTTTCAATGTCCAGGTTGAACCCAACCGCCACCCTCAACCACACATCACAACTGCACATCACCACCAGCACCCACAACCACGTCCTCCACTCCATCGTCCCACCGTCCTCCTCCAACCACACTCTATGTGAATGTATACGTATGGGTGGTCCTTCTCTCTATGGAAAAGGTTACGTCATATCCTCTCGTCCTCACTCATGGTCCCTCTATCTCTGTGTCTGCATTCTGGAACAGGAAGAGAGAGGGAAAAAAAATCAAAATACCTTCTCTCCATGCCACAAACTTGACGAAGGAAACGTGTCGCGTAATCATGACTTGACATCCCAGCCAAAAACAAACTGTAGGATGAAAAGACTAGAAAAGAGAGAATTAAAAAATTCAAAAGATATCCGATGGAAGAAAAATATTCAAATACAGATCACAAAATGATTGCATGACGGAATCAACCCAAACGATGAATTCATAAATTGACCTAAATAAGAGTACGCTTATCTAAAATAAATGCATTCATAGGCCTACACGAGTCATGACTTTCACACAGGCGACACATGGAGGCAATTAAAGGAACTAATAACCGTCTACGCGGTATTTGAAACCAAGCGGTCATAAAACCGCACGGAAAAGACAAGCAAACATGGCTTGACAAGAAGTGCGTCTCGGAACATGAAATATAGGAACGGCATGATCTCAGATGACCCAAGCGGTCATGATAGAAGGAAAAGGGGGAAAGACAAGGAAGGATCTGGCAACACTGGGAGATGGTAACCGCTCGGTCATAGTGTCGTAAATCTCGGGGGAACTCAGAAGGACGAAAAGAATTCATCGCTTGATATCGAGCATGCTTCACTTTCACCTTTGCGCAAGGTACTGACTGGATTATCCTATAGGTATAGGTCTTCTACGCGCTTCTCCTCCTCCTCCACATCGCTACCTTTTTCTTATGGGCCTGTTCGACATGCAGAAACATGAGCTGTTAAGCCATAAACTCCGGCAGGTACTAGTCTGTTAATTGCTGCATATGATGGAGGTAAAAGGCTCGGTTAGTTTGGGGTATAAATGTCTCTTTCATGAATCAAGTAAAATTGCTAGACATATTTTACAAAGTGAAATGTAAAAAAGGGCACTTAATTCCAAAACGCTATCAAGAACACATAATGTAGACTGTTTGAGGATTACTGTCGTCGCTTTTGCGGCAACATTTCAGCAGTCGGTCTCCGAAACGAACGACATAGAGAGAGAAAAAGGAACGGGAGATTGAGATCCCTGATCATGAGTTCCAGGATCTCATGTGAGACAAAACCTGATGGGACACTTCCGACAACGGGCCAGATGCCCCAGAGATGGTGAGCGAGACAGGGTTGCCAGAACCTCCCGCACGTCGAACCATCCCTTTATGTCTCATAAGGTCCCTCGAACACACACATATGGAAACACTTAGAAGGAGAAGGACGGTCCTTTCTCTCCTAGGGCTTCCTGCTTTGGTCAAGCAAGCCCCGACACCTTCCAGATGTACGCCACATGCTTCTCTGAGAATAGGGAACGGGACTCCTCCCATTCGCATCCCATGGAGGCCAAGGCAAGGCTTGTCGGTGACAAAAAATCCTGATCGAGACATGATTGAGAAATCCTTCATCATCGTCGTCGTCGTCTCTGGAGGCCATAATGATGATAATTATTCTCGTCTCTCTCACCTTCTCCTGCCCTGTTGCCACCATTGTGACGAGTATGATTTATTACCGAGAGATCCCCAATTATTCTGAGGTGAAAGTGCGAATCACCCCTGATACACCACTATCGAAAACAAAAAAGCAAATACATCTCTTGAAGAGGATCACACGCCGAAAGTATACAGGTCATCGCTGATGTGAAGATCACCTGTGCGGGGTGGATGACCGGCCAATAATCCTAGCAAAGTTTTCTTTTTCCGTTGCCGAGCTACCGCCTTTTTTTGTCATCAGTTGGGATGGTCTGCATCAGTGCATGTATCCGCATGCATATGGAAAATTTTATGGGGGGACGTTTTTGCTCGAGGGCTAAGGATGTCATAATGCATTCCAAAGATCGGTCACTTCTTTCCCCTAGTCCCTGTCTAACAGAAAAAAGCAGCTCGATTTCCGGGCTCATTAAACCTGTTAATGCGGTGTTTAGCGGATAATTACTATAGCCGGAAATTCCCCCCCAATATCCTTTTCCCGTTTCCTATAAACATCGCCCTCTTCCTCTTGTTTGGCCGACTCAGATACGGACAAAAACTCTGTGACGATTTCCATACTACATATCAAAATGAAATCATTTAATTCTAAACAATTAAAAAATCTACGCTGGGTATGGCCTCATGACGTGAAAAAAGGCATAAATTCAGAGTAACAATGTTCATGATAGAAAATTTTGTGATGCCGAATATGGACGAGGGTTATAGATGGGATTCGAAAGTGAAGGTGAGTCTGAACAAGCCTCATTCATATGCTGGCCCGGGTCTCACCTGGAATCAATTGGATCTATTCATAATGGTGCAATGGGGGATGATGAATGCAAAGGGGATTTATGAGAGACACGAGGACCTGCATCCGAAACAAACCTCGTTTCAAGCTCCCATTTCTCCCACAAAGCATGCCTTGTTATACGGGTGAAAAATACACATATATGATAGCAATTAAGGAATGATTTAAGGGGTCAATCGAGATAAAACCAGTGTCATTTGTTCCCCACGCGTAATTGCTCGTAGTTATTCAAACTGTTTTCACTGTCAACATCTCCTGGCCCTGCTCAAAAGATTACGCGAGGAGTTGGCCCTTTTTTGTGGCATGAATTGGGTGGTGTCCTTGAGTTATTGGCACACCCCCAGACTCCCATGTCTCATATGAGTACAAGTCCCCGTCTGTTGACAGTACGTGTCGGTTCTTTCCCTTCCTGTGAAACAGGAGCTTCGTTTGTCTTCAAGGCAACCCAGGCATGACGAAATCTCTCTCTACCGTTTCCTATGATTCAATACATCAGAAAGCCCATCAAGATTTGCAGTAAGGAACTGACCCATGAAAAGGTCGAAGGTTCGAGGACTTCTGCCCCTGGCATAAAAAAAAGAGTAACATCTTCAAGACTTTCTCTGGAGCCGTGAATTGCGGGATTCTCGTTTTACGACGTCATGGGTGTTGACACACCGTCCCATATGGGAAGATTGGAGTCAATCTATGCAGATGACACCCCCTTGTTTGAAAATATGCGCGCAATATTCGAGCCGTCTTCACCCTCATCCATACGAAGAGCTTGGAATGTGCGGAGAGACAAGAGAAGACGAGGGTCCTCCCTCCCATACTCCATCCATCAGGGACTTTTCAACTCCTTCCGCCGAACTTTTCCTTCATCTCCCTGTCATCTTCTATGACCCTCTCCCTCCCTCACATATATTTGCAAGTTTTTCATCGCTCTTCCGAAAAATCAGAAGGGAAAATACCGAGTAACAGCCGCCATGGCTGTGCGCGATGATCGCAACGAGGTCAAGTGCGAACTAGCGGAACTCGCAGGTTCCAAAACAAACAAAAAAAATCCTCGTATAGGAGCTAGGATACGAGGAAAGAGATGAGGAAAGGGGGTATATTCCAGCTGTAAAAAAAGGAAACGGGAGCAGTTTATGTGTTATTGCTGTCAGCATAACGGAAATTGCATTGCTCCAGTATTTCCATCCTGTCTAACTGAACAAGTACTTTTTTCCCATACCTCTCAATTTTGTAAGAGACAAAGAAAACATGGCATCGGTGCCGGTTCGTTGAATGTCACAGATCACGTGAGTTTCTTTTCGGACTCACGTATGTATGTACACTGCTGGATCGAAAGCACAGTGAAAGATGACAGGGAGAGCGAGACACATGACATAGCACAATCCCTACGTATCTGGCTCACGCTAGCACTGATACCGCTGTGGTAGGTGGTGTTCCCGGGGCGGGAGCCGGAGAAGGACTGAACCAAAAATACACACCAGACTCTCCTTTTCCTCCTCCTCCTCCTCCGCCTCCCCCTCCTTCCCGTCTCTCTTCTTTCCTCCTCTTCCTCCGTACCTCTCCCTTCAACTCTACTTATGACGTCATCGTGTATTTTCGGCTACCTCTCGTCCTTCCAACCTCTCCCTCAACCACAACTTCATTTTAGGATTTATTTCCCACTCAAGATAGGCCAATTTTTTCTTCTTCCCACTTATCTCCCTGTTTGTTTGTTGGTACGCCGGAATGGCGTATCACCACGTTCCCCTTTTCCACTTCCAGTCCGACTTCTTTCGCCATCGAAATACGGCGACATTTAAGAAAAAATTATGCTGGAAATAGAGCAGAAATAGAGGGAGGGGGGGAAAAAGCTTGAAATGAGGGAGGAAGCGGATTGTAAAAAAAAGGGCTCCCTATCTCTTGCGGCCTGATTACAACGCCGATAATGCCGTCATTACATCATTGTCCACGACGGCAATGTTTCCTGTCAAAACAAATCCACCTGAATTTTTTCCCCCCTCCGTGAATCGCGTGGAATCTAATAAGAACGAGTGTGAATGAATGAATCATGAAGAGCCTTGAGGGTACATTAGAAAGAGAGAGAACAGGTTCTGGCAATTAGAGAGCATTTACACGAATCGGCGTGGGTGTTTCCCTACCTTGTCAATCACGACTAATTGCCCTGTCCCTTATCCGTGGACATATCCGCTCCTGGGGACTAATTAGATCACGGGTTTTCTGTATGGATTCACTTCTCGCCTCGTTATTACTCAATCTGCCACGTCCCTGTCATAAATCATTGACCGCATTCTTCGCCATTTCGGTCAAGATCAGCTTCAACCGAATGACATCGGTTCCTCTCCATGTTGAAAAGGAATGTCATCGGGCATTAGGAGACAGGATACCCCTTTTTTTATTTAAGTATTTCAACAGCTGCGGGAACGGTGAGCGACCCTGAGAGCAACTTTGACTCATTCCAATTCTGCGAAGAGTGAATTGCTTCTATTTTTACTCCGCGTGAGTCTTGGGAGTTCCCTGCGTTTTGAAAGATACGAGATCTGGAGCGATAAAAAGTCCCGGAGGAATCGATGAACAATTTGAATGCTGGACCGGGCAAGTTAGGCATCAAGATTCAAAGACTGAAAAAAAATTTTTTTAACCTGAGTATCGATATGCAGTAACTAAAAGCTGCAAAATGCAATGAATACAGGGATTATTTGAAGGAAAAAAAAAAAGCGAGGACACCAAAAGCCATCGCCAGATGAGCCCTTCGCTCACTGCATGCCGTGACTTATTCCTCAACTGGGCCATTTAGCAAACACTGAAAGTAGGCCTACTTTTATCAATAACTTCGAAACTCGAATTTTGCCGGGAGCTTATCATTAGGGTATAAAAGCAGTGTGATTTAGATCCGAGGACTTGAATTTTTAAGCGGAACTCACCTCAACTTTTCTCACGTGGCTGTCACCCGGCATTAAAGTCCTGTTACACAGGCCAGTGCTCACCAGCGAGTGGAAAGTGCGCGCTGCTTGGCGAAGACCCTCCTCTTCTCGTCCCAAACGACCTGACATCTACCGGGAAGCGAGGAAGTTGCGAAACTCTTCCCCTATCCATGCTGAAATGCGATGAGCGTGGCTCGGCAGACCGGCTCTCTCGGCGTTTCGCGGGGATTTAAACGGAATCGCTGAAAATCGATTCGACATGAAACTTGTGAGTTTTAAGCGACCTGGTAATTCGACGATGCCGGGTTTAGGATAGGCTGCGTTGCATAAGTCCTGCAGCACGTTTTCGCGATGGTATCTCTCACCGCCGAGCACCAGCCTGAATAATATCAATCATCCTTTATCGTCTGCTCGTAGATGGCTGAAACTGCATGCTTCATCGCGTCGCCTCCCCGAAACTCGCCTCAGAAGCGATCTCGGCCAGAGTCGGAAAGCTTGGAACTGGACATGCCAGGACTTTTACACGCTGGAACCCCTTCTTCCGATACCCAACTCCAACGCCGAGAGATGAAAGAAATAAAGAAGCAGATGTGGGGGGAAAATACTCGCCATCTGTGTCGTGAGATGAAGTCGAGGATGGTCCGTATTAAACCAGCACATGAGAGCAAGTCATGACCGGTGTCCCTCGGATAATCGATGTCCCAAGTCCCAATACTTCTAATCGAGCGGTTCATCGATTAAATGGATAATGGATGTTCCTTATTATTTCCAGGACGCAGTGTCCCCTGAGTCGGGTCTCTTCCTGCCCCAGGGTGGTCGAGTTGGAGAGACTAAAATGCGGAACACGTAAGGTTGGGGGGCGGGGCGGGATTCCACGGGATCGCCGTTCTCGGATGAGAGACATTTAGTGCGGGTCGAGTGAGGCTCTCTAATGGACTGGGATCGAGTAACTGTCCTAATCTGATGTTCAACAAGTTCAAGTCATCGATCATGGTGGAAAATCTCTCGGTTCGAGGTCAGCATACTGTCAAAAGAAGCAAACTAAAACGAAATGGATTTTTTTTGGATAGATAAAAAAATTATTCTCATACCGAGAGCAGGACGTGAGAAGTCGGCATGTGAGCTGTGTCTCATTCGCTCACGCTCACGTGAGAAATGCCTCGTTTCACGCGTATTCACGCCAGCTTGCTTTTCCACGAGAGAACATAACTCACAGGGTTCTTTTGCACTCTGTAATTTAAGATTGTTCACGCTTGATTCAAGCGTGGTTTCTGCCAATTTGCTTCCTCCAATTTTTATTTTATATTGGGGCAGTAAAAAAAAAAAGCAGAAAATTTTCGAGAATTTGTTTACTGTTCCTATTTTTTCCCGTTCTAAGTATGTAACCCTTGGTATTTGTATTTTCAGCCTTGTTTTTCCTCATAAACGATCACGACGAAAGAAGCCTCCTCAGCCGCGGATCACGCGTGTTGGCCGTCGGAAACCAGCGAGCGGCAACCCACAACTCCCGATAAGACGTTGAGTCGCGCGCGAGTCACGACAAAATCGCCCGGCTTCAATTCCTTGTCAGCAGGATGCGTCCCACGGGAAATCGGCCGCTTCCTCGAGGGGTTTCATGCTCCTCCAAGGTCAAAGCGACGATTGCCAATAAACGAATCCATCTGATGTGAATAGGGTTGCCATCTTAGAAATTAACAAAATATGAACATATGGACCATGGACATAAAATAATCCGGCCAAATTTTCCAAGTACATTCGTATATGTGGCTCTGCTGTTACTACAGCCACCTTTAGTCAAGGCACCAATCAATGCTATAAGAGTGTGGCCTACTACTCTTGACTCGCATAAAAGAATGGTTTTAGCCGCTATTAAGCTTATTATTCAGCTTAAAAAGCTGATAAAACTTAAGAAACTTAATATTAAGCTTCTTTAAAAAATCTTAAGTTCAAAATAGGGATAAAGCAGTGTCCATATTAAGACAAGTTTGCAGCATGGGACATTGCATCTGAAACATGTACTGTCCATAGTAATTACGAACAGGTGGCAACCCTAGATGTGAGCCATATGGAACGGGAAAAAGTCGCATTTCTAGAAACGAGAGCGGCTTCTACAACGGCATCGATACCGAGAAACTTCCTTCTTTTATCCTCTTATTTTTCCTACGATCGTGAAACCTGTTTACCAGAGTGAAAGGGGCACCCTGGCCGAAGGGAAATTCAAACAGTCCACAAGTTGCAGCAGTGATTTCCGATTAAATTCACCCCCACCTCTCACTGTGGTGGACGCGGGAACTACTTGATCGGAGAAGCCATTCGGCCAGAGTTATTTGGCGAGGGCGAATGTCACTCAAGTTGCGCGACATGTGGCGCCTTTCAGAAGGGGATTGGGTGTGAAATCGATCGAAAATCACCATATTATAGGATGAGAGCGCTTTGAAGGCTGGACTCATTCGAGACTTAAAATGGCGGAATCACACGACGACCCAAAATCGGCCGACTTCTCAATGGTTGCAGGCGATAAAATCACAAGAAGAACCGAGAAACGGGAGGAAACCCCAGGCGGCGACGTCGAAACGCAGCTCGCGAAGTGCACACGCGAACTTCCATCGCTTCTCCGCTAGAGCGGCCGGGAGTAGTGACGTCACCCGCTGATAAATTGGTGAGGCCGGGGGGAAGGGGGGGGGAGGGGGAGGAGAAGACATATTTACAGAGATCCTTTTGAAAAATCATATGACGTTATCGTATCATCACTACGCCGCTGCGTATGCATACTACTGCCGCATTCTGCATCTTACGATACCGAGTGAATAATAGGGAAAGGCTATATCGGGAAGAGACTTCACCTGAGCGATACTCGTGACTGGAGGAAGCCGTACTTGCACGGAAAGATGTCCCTCTCCGATCGAGAGCTTCTTCCCGTCTCTTGTCATCGTCAGACGGGTTCCGATCCCGCACTGAAGCGGCGACGAGACGGGAGACGGGAATCGTTCGGTTCGCGATTTGGATTCTCGATAACGTTCAGCTCCGATTCGAACTCGAAAGCCTCGGTCGTCGAGGTCGCGCTTCCCACTTCTGTCGACCGCAGAACCACCGGCGATAAAACACTCGCAAAGGACTCTCGTGCCTCTGTGGAATCAGCCGTCTCGTCGCGTGAAGTAGATCGTCGGGAACGCGGTGTCGGATCGGGGCCGTGAGTCTCGCTCTCTCACGAGGTCAGAGTGTAGCCTAGCGTCAGCCCGCGGCCGCTCTCCTCGAAAGGCATTTCCCCATGGAGACTGACCCGAATGCACAAACCTCATTTAGGCGAGATAAACGGGCCTTTAGGTTAAAGAGCTCATTTCTCCCATAGGATTCCATTAAGGGAAGGAGGTTTGAGCATTCGGGCCCGGGAGCAGCCCCGCCCCGACCGAGCCTTCCTTGCCCTCCGTGCAGCCTGCTTCAAGGCTTCGTCGTGCCTTGAGCTTGTCGTAGGCACGCGCCGCTTCTAAACTTTGCGTGGGCATGGGACTTGGTCGAGGCATCGCGTTGGGTTCGGCTCGGTTAGGTCTGCATCACTTTCGACGCGTTGCTCGGCCCGAAAATGAATCATCGTAGGCCCAGGCTTCGGCCGAACGGTAGAGGAGACGTAGAGCTTGAGGAAAATTCAGAGTAATTACTATTAACACTGCACGCAACTTAAGTAATGGGGAATATATTTCATGACCGTCGGGAAACGATGCGATGCGGTGTGGCCTGTATCAAGGGTAGTGTGGCAAACGACCCATCGATTGGATGCGTCGAGCGCATGAACGAAACGAAAGCCGCACGGACACAACATGGCGGCTGATGACGTCTTTCTTCATTACCGGGGACACTTTCCCCTTCCGAGGAACTTTTTCCTTTGTCTGATTCATGACTCTGCAGATGCCGTAATTGCAGTTTTTGGGGGGAAAAGTCGATTCGGAAAGAGCCCGAGGAAGGGGGGGGATTGTGTTACGCGTTCGACCTGACTTGAATGAATAAAAGGCAATTAAAACCGCCGCAGACTTGCGACCGCATGTCCATCACCTCCGCGATGAAGACATCCGACTCCACGCGCATTAGAGGGAAATGCCTCTGCCCCGGCCCCCTTCCATTGCGAAAGGGGATTATACGATCCGGGCTGCTCTCTTCTTTCACTTTTTTCCCGGCCTCATGCGAGGAGACAAATAATCACGTCGGGGATAATTACACACTTGATTCTCTTGTTGATATTATACCATAAAGCGTGATGGAGGGCCTCCACACACACACGCACCGGGTGACTCCTCATCGTTTCCTTCAGCCGTTTCCCACGAACGAAAATCTCATCGGCTTCATCGAGGCTGCGGGAGCCGTCCAGCCGAGAGGTTTCTTCCGAAAATCGCAACGCATAAGACGATTGCTGTAACGAAACGGTCGGGATCCTTGTACGGAAACGTGACCCCGAAGATTGCTTCCGCCGTGACGTCACGTATGGAAAGCAACCGAGGCCTCCGAACGGGTGTGATTTCGAGATTGCACCTTACGCTCTCGATGAGAAATGGGTTAGATCGTGATGAGGGGGATCCGAGGAAACGTGTTGAGTCTCCCTGTGCGGAGAATGAGACCTTCCGACCCCAATTCATCCAGTGACCTCAATGAGCCGTGAAGGCCTTTCCTTTATTACCCTTCTTGCCGATATCTGCCTCTCCTTATTCCTTGATTCACTACCGGCCTCGCTCGGCGAAGGGCACAATTGCCAAAGCCTCAAAATCACCCATCGAAAACGACTCGATCCGTCGGTGGCACGATTCACGAATCGAGACTCGGGAGGATGAGAGCTCACGGCTTTATTGAGATCCTTGAGTTCTAAGGCAGCATATGGACGGAGTGTGTCATAATTATCACAACAGATGCAATATTGCACAAACTCATCACTACGGTTCTAAATCGCTCACAAATACTGATCATTCCTAGATCTACTGGTGCGATTAGGGTTGCCACCATTGAATTTACTACTGCAACTTTGACTTAAGGAAAAGAGTGGTTTTGGCAGCTATTATGCTTTGTTTATTAAAAAAAAATCTTAGGTTTAAAATATGGACAAAACAGCGTTCATATTAAGACCATTTTGCAGTATGGACATTGCATCTGAAATATGTACTGTCCATACTAATTATAAACGGATGGCAACCCTAAGTGCGATGTTGATACGTATGAATACATAAGCCTGAATTCCAGGCATAGCCAGAAGCTGGCAGATGAACATAAGGAAGCTCTAACTGGTACGGGAAGCAATTCCTCAAAGGAATGTAAGGGGAAGCACAAGTAGGCCAACACTTACACATCACCTTGGCCCAAAATTAGATCAAAACCATGAGAAAAATGATGCACTTTTCTGCAACAAGACTCAAATCTTCACAGGGGTAACATTGCACTTGTGCTTGAATATCACATGATAAACCGATGGAAGAGATGATCAAACAGGTAACACGAAGGAAAAATATAGCAACAAACAAACGAAAGCAGCGAAACAGGTAAAAGGCATTGGACATCCTGAGAGGCTTCCAGCTCAGCCGAGAAGGATGTGAGATTTGGCATACTGAGGCCTCGCACTGCCGGCAGGGCGTCGAGTGATGCGCAATTCCACCGCGACCCGACGCGCCTTCTTGTCGAAGGTGTCGGGGGAGAGGCTCCGTCGGAGGGTGTCGCGGATCTTGGCTGTGGTGTGGGCCACCTTCCTTGCCTGGTGCACTTGCCGCTCCTTCTCTTCTCGGATGGTTCGCGAGCGACGGTCCTTGCAGGCCAGCATCTCCCGCCGCTGCTTCTCCATCAATATCCATTCGTTCTCCAGTCTGGGGTGGGAAAAATGAGACACGCTCGATATCATGACATGTTTTTCGATGCCCGAATTCAGCATGCGAAAGCAGATTGGGGAGGAGGTGTTGACCTTTTGAGGTTTTTTCGATGCTCCAGTTCCCGTTTCTCCTCGGCCTCCCTGGTATCTCGGCTCCGTCGTTCTTTCTCCCTATCAACGACTTCTTTGGCCCGCCTGAGAGACGTATCTTGGATGCGTCTCACCTGCTCCCTCCATGCATCGAAGCCCTTGTCCAGCTCCCTCCTCACGCGATTCACTTGCTCCTTCCGACGCTCCAACTCATGACTACATCATGCGTTTTCAACGAGTCTCATCATTAACAATTTTTTTTTTTCGTTTCTACTCTTAAAAACGAGCTACTACGCACTGTATCCCTATTCCTGCTGCACATAGGATGTATATTGTCTTTCAAACTTGGAAAGGATGGGGCAGTAATTGCACTAATCGTGTCTTTCTCACAACATAAAAAATCTGCTCCAAAGCTTCCTTCAGCATTTTGCAGAAACGCAAAGAAAAAGACAAAGGAAGAACAGAGATGGTTTCTATATTCTAGGATACAAGGAATAGAAACACGGATCCCTCCGGAAGCTTAATTTTTCTTTAGATATGAATTTGCACAAGGCCACCTTGTTGGAAAATACAACATATCTAGGAGAGGGGAAAAGTTCTGAGTCCATGCTATTAAATTACCATAAAATCTTAGCCTCGTCTAAAAGTCTGAAATCAATGGTAATCAAATGGTATTCCCCCCAAGATAGTTTTCCTCTATAGAAAATTATTGTCCTAGCTAGGGTGTAATAAAAGTAAAGCTTAGCAAGGGGAAGAAGAAATTGGAGAAGAGATTTTATTTAAAAGATTTTGAGTGCATAAAAAGACTGTCCCTGCCAGTAGTATGAGGATATTTGACATGTTCACAATGTGAAAATGTGTTGCAGGGAAGAAAAAAATAAATTGGAAGTTGTATTGCCTAAATCTAAGGATTTATCTATACATCAGTATTTTAGGCTGCCCATGTAAGAAATAAATCAACTGACATGAGACAAAACCCTTAAAGAGAGATCAATACATTCAAATGATTCAGCATTGATAGCCCTAATTTATTAGCTCAGCAGCCATAAGGTAAAATGAGATTAAACCTCAACACTAGCTTACAGTGTCTGATGAAAACCTAAGATATGAGGAGGAATAGGATGCCATCAGCATAAATAAACCTACATTCTCACACACTATGGGAAAAAATAGACCAGCATAGCCTTGCCCAATCTTGGAGAAAATGTGAATTTAAAAGAAAGGAGCCACAGGACCTTAGCAAACCAGTTATGCAAATGGAAATCCATTTTACAATGAAAAGGAAAAGAGCCTGCTGAACTGTTAAATTTCCTGAGACCAGGATCCTCATGGATGCTAGGGGTGAAGATGAGAGAAAGTAATCACAAAAAGCAAACACACCAAATTGGTCAAGTTTATTCAAAAGGGGATGGGAGAATGGGACTCCATCAAAGTCATAATGAATTTGGTATAAGAAAAATAAAACTTGAATGGAGAGAATAAAATGTTACTTTCTCACTTTACTTATATTGTTAGATTCATTAGAGAGTTACTCTTTAAATATAAAAAATTAAATATTGGATCATAAGATAATAAAAAATGTCTCATTGCCATGTGCCAAATTAAGCATACAATTTTAACACCCAAAGTATGCATCCCCTTAATTCTTGCTCATTACATCTTGGAAAAATCTTATAGCAATGGAGAGAGAAATCTTTAAGTATGGCACAAGTATGGCAGCTACTGCGATCTCTGCATTTTACTTAGGTCTATCCATGTACACAATGGCAGCTTTCCCATAAATCATCATAATCAACCATGCAAAGGGACTCAGTGAACCAGCAATCAGAGTTTTAGAGCAATATATTAATTTTATAAATGAATATGCATTTCATGCATAAAACAGCAGCAAGGGTATATAAATGCAACAGCATAATATGTGCAGTATTTTCCTGTCAAAATTACTTAAAATTAAAAATTAAAAAAGCTTCAATCATTGAGGAATTTCAATAGGAGTTAATGATGGTTACATTAAACAAGGTAATGTCTTGGTGGCTTTATTGTGACTTCACTGATACACAAAAGCATTTTTCTTGCATTTTTACTTTTCGTGAGGTCTACAGTTCATTTTAAAAAAAGTCGGGATGGTGCTATTGTACATAAATCAACAGAAATATATTCAAACACTAGTATCTCTATTAAAATTCTTGATGGATTGTACAAAATATGCACCATAAATGTTTTACTCAAAAAAGGACTCCATTAATCCCAAGATCTTAATTTTACACTATTGGCATTTCCACAATATCATCGTTAACAGGCAGGTTGGCATCTGCAGTTTTTCAGCTTCAGTTTTTGAAAAAGAATGACATCTGGTGGTTATGCAAGATTGCCATGTAGAATAGGCATTTGTGTGAAATTAAAGTGAGAACAATGGCAGATAAGACCATAAACAGTGGTGTAGCCAGGATTTTGCCAAAGCAAGGGGGGCTAGAATTTCCCTAGCTTCTCCTAAGGGAGGAAGGGGGGGAGGGGGTGGCAGATGATTTTTGACCAGAGTTGGGGGTGGTTAAAAGCAAACTTGAGGGGGGGGGCTGCAGCCCCCTTGCTATGCTACTGCCTATAGATAACAGGCAGTGGCATGGCACATAGATTTCTTCAATTCACGAACCCTTATCTATGTGCTTAAGATTAAATTATTCATTTGTTGAGGAAAAGAAAGCATAAATCATCCTTGTGCAGTACATAATGCCAGGGGTCAGGGCCTATTCAGCTAAGATCATGAACTTGTAGTAAGAGCCCTGTTGACCAAGAACAGCAGGAACTACTGAAAGTGAAATGTCACAGCAACCAGACCTCTGCTGCTCAAGCTGGGCTTTCCTCTTGCGGACCATTTCTGCATAGTTCTCATTTGCAGTCTTTTCTCTTTCCAGCAGCTGGATGCGCATAGTCTCCAGGGCCTCTTTTGCTCGGGTAGTGACTTCGCATCGGCGCAGGAGCATCCCAGCCATTGCTTCACGGTTCAGCTCCAGCAACCTCTGAAGGAAACATTTCATGGTTAGGACATGCAATATAGATGTTGATACAACTACACCTCTCATCTTGTTCTCAGTACTACCTGAACCTAAACCTAAAGTTGCTTGAAATAACAATCATAGTCCTTAGTTCTCACTTGTTTATGGGCTTCTGCCATCTGAATCCTCATCTGTTCAGCTTTCTCAATTCTCTTCTGACTTTCAGCTATAATCTCTCTCTTCCTTTTTAGTTCTTCTTCCTGTCTCCTGGATAACTCGGCTTCCAATCTCAGCTTCCGATGTAGGTACATCATCCTCTGCTGCAAGAGCTCATTTCTCTAGAAGAATAAGAAAAGGAATTTGGAATGTTATGGTCATGATACCATCCATAACTGTCAGCAAGAAGGGGACACGCACTCTACGAGAATGATATTCTTCAAGCAAGGAAAGGGCATGCTGCTCCTTTTCTTCAAGGTGACGCTGTATTGATTGAGTCTTTCGTTCATACTCTGACTCAATCTGGGCTTTCTTTTTCTTAATATCATCGGCATCTTGCCTCCATCTTGCTGCCACCTGCTTACGGTACCTTTCCAGAGCCGCATTCTGGAACTGAAAACAAATCCAGCATTTTCTCTTTTGATATTAAGTGGGTCACCTTTCAAATGCAGTGTTAACAAAGGAGAAGAATCAACATACAATCCTCAGTTCTCGTTCTTCTTCCAACCACTCTTTATGCTTTTGTTCTGCCTTCTTCTCCCTTTCCTTTTCCTCTTGAACCCTTAAAGCCATTCTCTCCAAAATCTTCAAATCATGAGCTGGAATTCTCAACTCATCAAGACTGTAAGACCTGTATGAAAAATTCACAGAGGTTGCCAATGTTGCCAGCACCTGGTGACATTCCACATTGTATTGTATTTTGTTGGATTGAAGAGATGGCAAGGAATATTGATTTTTACCCCCGAAGAGCATCCTTCAAATAATCCACTTCACTTTCAGCAAGGGAGATTGTGGAGGCCGACAGAGAACTCATTCCCTTGCGACCTGGTGAAAGGCTGTATCTGTCCATCACACTTCTTCCTTGCAACTGTCTCACGTGCAACCTAGATTTAAAGATAACTATCATTTCAAACATTTCACAAATGCAATGCAACTTCTCCCAGAGAGCTACTCCTCGGTTCTCTAATAAGCCAGGCTGGCATGAGTTTAGAAGCTTACACCAAGCCTGTGAAAGACTGATGTTCATAAGCAAAATGAAAATATGGTTGCCCTGATTAGCCATTGCATGCATATTGGGAGTTGATTATCCGAGATTGTCGATCATTTATCACGAACCCCATACTTTCGCAAATCTGTAACAAACTTACGTATCGTCCTTAGCGTTAGGCCTCGCCTTAGCAGAGCTGACTTTCCGACTCCCCTTTCCATTTTTCCACTTGACGTGCCTGGACCTGTCCAGATCCCGTTCCTTTTCTGCAGCGTCTGAAGACAGAGAGTCAGAAGATGAACCTGATGACGATAAACTCGACGAGGACAGGGACTTCTTTCTCTCTTTCAAATTCCCTGGCATTGCTGCTAACGACCCCGAGGCACTAGGAACTGCTTGGAGCGAGAAGACGGGATGGAAGCTGCCATACAAAACAATATGGCGGCTTGCATGTGCCTGTCATGGTGGTGATCTCACATCAAGGACTTCCGTCTTTTTTGTGAATATCGAGGCCTTGGCCTCCTTTGAGTTTGTGGCTCAAAATGCCGTTGAAGGATTTGGTCGGAGGAGAATGTGGCCAACAAAGTTCACTCGTCCAAGTATCCCAGCAATTGCTGCGAGATCGAACGGCTCCAATGGGGAACTGGGATTTCCGTTACTCAGTGGGACTCAACGGGCAGCAAGTTTCAGGAAACTCGGTATCTTACTTATCATTTATTCGATGCTGCGTCCTTTATCACCTGAAAATTAATTCGATCACATTCTAGGTCAATGCACTTTTTCACTCACAGTTGGTGGACAACTTCCTGGCTGAGTCTGCAGCCAATCTGTCACATCTTCCACAGAGTTTTCGAATGGATTCCCTCCTGAGGGAAATGCAAGAGATTGAACATTCCACTTATCACAAAGCACATCCTGTAGTTGCACCTGGTGTGGCTTATTTAGCTGCTCAAGAAGCCAAGCAGTGGCGTAGTGAATTGTTTCAACAGAACTCTCAGGTGAGTTGCATATGTGATCATTGTGGAACCCTGCACCTTTTTTTTTTCTTTTATCTCTCAACTGATATCCTTGTTTTGTTTGTTTTTTTTTTTCATCATGTAACTGGTATCATGTGGTCAAATTGACCCAAGTAATAAAAGCCTCAATAAAATGGTTTGTTTGGAATGTGTAGTTAGCTATCATGGCAATTTTGTATCTACCTTCACTGCAATGAAGTTGGCTATGAAACTACCATTATAGAGGTCCTAATGCAATGAGAAAGAACTGGGATTAACACATTGATCACAGGTGCCATCAATTTAGTGGGGTTTCTTATGACCACACAATACCATTTGAGAGATAAATATGCAAGACAGGTTACCAGACTTCATTGACTATTGATATGCCTGCATTTTAGAATGCCACAGGACCTCCAATCCCCATGACATTGCCTCCACCTATCTATGAGCATCACATGAGGTACAGGTTTTACCTACTGATTTTGTGTAAAAAATAAATTTTCATCTTGCTTATAGAAGATTGTTTTGTCTTTTGTAGGCCAATGCCAATTGGCTTCCAGCCTTTAATGGTTGGTCCTGCCCTCCCCCTTTCTCATGTAAGTCATAAAGTCTCTCAACACATTAGAACCCAATTCATGTAAAGGGTAGATCATAGGTCATGAACTCCTTTACAATTGTAACATGTTGATGTATTCTTTTTCTTCGTTCAGGTAAATGATGAGGTAGACAGCATCTGCTACAGCATTGAAGAGCAACTTGTGATAAAACATTTGAGTACATGAGTGCCTATGCAGAATAAAAATGTTGGATGCTGTAAGGCCAGGGTTTGCAAAACATTTTGAGGAACAAGCTTCAATGAAAGTTAATATTTGAGAGCTGAAGAAAAACATTTTCATCAGGTTTGTACTTAGGGACCCTTTTTTGTCATGGGGCCAACTGCTTAATGTATCAAAAGATGTTTCTTCTCCAAGTTTTCAAGCTGTTTTTTTAATTATTATTATTGGAAAATCTCAAATTAAAACTTCTCAAAACATTCTGCAAAATCTTGCCAGAAGCATGTGGTTTTTTTCCAAGGTGTGGCAAATCATGTACCCAGCAGCTCATTACAAGCTGCTTTTCAATTCTGTGTCAAGCTGCTTGCCCCCATCTTTACCATCCTAATGTAAAGAAAAAATATGCATGCATACTTTAGCACATTATACTTTTGAAGATCATAACTGGTGGTCTACCCTTTGTACCAGGTGACCTATACAAGAAAGTTAATAAACTTACATAGCTGCAGACAACTTCATACAAAGTATTGGCAAAGAATTAACAGGATCTAGTGTATTTCATCTTGTAATTTCATTAAAATGTAAATGAAGTGATTGTTCAGAACCCAAGCAATGGGATCTTCCTTGTGTATGATGTCAAATGAAATAGTGTGTCTGCTTTTCCTTGTTCACCTGAACTGGGCTAGTCTTCAAATTTCTTTTGATACCTTAAGTGTTATTGTCTGCAGCCTTGTAGAATGGGGAACTTTTTTGGGCTACCATGTGTCAGTGTAGCATATCTATGTAGGTAGGTGTAATGTAAGTTCCTCTGCTTCTAGGTATTCCCACAACACTTGGATCTTGATTTGGAAGCTAATGTCTCTCAGGAGGAAGCACTTCCTGAGTCAGTTGCAACTGACTCTCAAGAAGGGGCCAAATCCAGTCAGTGTAGACATTATATCCTATGGCCTTAGATCATTTTCTTCTTCCTAAGGTAATCACCCCTTTCTTGGGAGCAGGAGGTGCAAGTCAGCAAGAAGAGAAAGACGAGTACTGGAATCATCTCCGGGAAGAGTGGGAAAAACTAGCAGAAGAAGGTGATCATCCCTGGCTAGGAGAATTTGACCCAACAGCCTTTGAACCTTTTAAGGTGAATTCTTCAATAAAATATTTAAATGCAATATAAATGCAATATTGCAACTTCAATTATTTAGGCCTACTTTGAAATTAGCATTATAATTTTGACACCCAGGAATACAAGTTTGCCGAGGAGAATCCACTTAAAGATGAACAGGATCCAATGGCCGAGGGGAAAAGAAGGTTACAGGAAGGTGATGTACCTTCTGCTGCTCTCCTATTTGAGGCTGCTGTCCAAAAAGAACCTCAGAATGTAGAAGCATGGCTCCATCTTGGAACAACCCAGGCTCTCAATGAGCAAGTAGGCCATAAATTCAAATAACTTACTGCATGCAAGATATTGCATCACGAATTCTTTGCACCTTATCTTCCATGATGTTAAAGGACCCCAATGCGATAGCAGCCTTGCGCAAGTGTCTGGAACTAGATGAAGGGAACTTGACTGCCCTAATGGCTCTAGCAGTGAGCTATACAAATGAATCCTACCAAGCCCAGGCTTCCTCTGCCTTGAAGGAATGGCTCAAGAGGAACCCTAAATACAGTCACCTGGTGAAAGAAGGGTCCAGTCCAGCCAAGCTCAGGTCAGATCTCGTCTCCTCTCTCCTTTCCAGGTACGTTGGGCTTCTGGGCTCCTCCCCCTTTCGCTTTTGTTGCTGTAGCATTTATTCCTGTCCTGTCAACTTGAAATGATGTTTGAATGCTCTGATGAGTTTATGTGGGCTCATTTTTGGTGTAGTCCAGCTCAGGAGGAACTGAGAGACCAATACTTGGATGCTGCTCGCCTGGCAACCCCAGAGAATTCTCTAGATCCAGATGTTCAATGTGGCCTTGGAGTTTTGCTTAATTTAACAGGAGATTATGAACGTGCAGTGGAATGCTTTCAAGCTGCTCTTCAAGCTCGACCTCAGGTAATGTAACATGGCATTACAGGGAATCCTTAATAACTGATCAAAATGGAAGAAGTGCTTTTCAAATCCTTTTATCAAACAGGATCCCTTATTATGGAATCGTCTGGGGGCAACCCTTGCCAATGGAGGAAGATCAGAAGAAGCCATTCATGCATATCATCAAGCACTGACTATCTATCCTGGATTTGTACGATGTCGCTACAACCTGGGCATAAGTTGCATCAATCTGGGAGCACACAAGTTAGTGCCACCTTGAACATAGTGCATAGCTTTTAGTGCTTTCAAGGTAGCTCTCCCCATTTCCAGGAATTGAGCTCCTAATATGTATGCAAGCATGAAGGGGAATATATGATTCCTAGAATGAGCCGAGAGTTTACAGAGGAATCACAGGCTTTCATGTCAATCCAAAGTGACTTCTGCATTTCATGGAGATGTGATGTTTGAATAAGTAATGAAAGGATCTTGCCTGTCATGATGATGCAGGGAAGCAGCTGAGCACTTCCTGTATGCCTTGAGCTTCCAGAGTGCAGCAAGAGGTCTCCATGGTCAGATGTCTTCTACTCTGATGTCCTCTTCTATCTGGTCTTCACTGCGAATGGTTCTCTCTCTCCTTGGACGAAGGGATCTCTTTCAGGCTGTTGATGATAGGTGGGCTCAGATGTGCAATATGAGTAAGTTATTCAAAGTATGCAGTCATTTCAAGCAAAGTCTTTTCTTTGTGCAGGGATTTGAAACGGCTGAATCAAGAGTTTCCTTTCCAAGCTACTACAGAAAAGTGATTTACTGTCATCCTGTTGGGTTATTTAGCTGCACTCTGCTGCTCAAATAGAAAGGGTCTTATTCTTAATGTACTTTGCTTCTATTCCAGTTCCTCTGTCATCTTCACTGTCTTGACTGTGATATTTAGCTGTTGATATCCTTGATTGTGATTGGTTTCTTCATGCTCTCATCTGGTTGCAGAAAATTGAGGCATTGACTGGCATTCCTCAGATGTGAAATCTGCTTAAAGTACAGAAGATGAAACATTTTCATGTCATACTTTGATAATATACATATTATCAAAGTATGATAGTATGAAATGGTTTTTCAAGTGCTTGTCATATTTTTGAATTCTTGCAAAATTTTACTTCAGCAAGTCTCTGTGATAGTTAAATTGGTTATAGCTAAGTTCTCAGTACAATCAAATGATTTTTTTTTTATCCTGGAAAAACTCCTGTAAAGAGAACTTTTATACCTCCCACTTCAAAAGTCCTGTCTTTCTAGAAAAAAAACCTTTTGAATAAGTTTTGCAGTGTAGTGCCCACTCTCCTCCCAACTTGCAGCGCCTTCTGCCAGAATCCATGGCCCTGTCTTTGACCTCTAGGAAGATAGGAAGAGGTCTCTGGCTGGTATCCCAATGAATAAAATTTCCTGTCAATTTGTGCCAAGGCATGCTTGGTGTTGCTTCAGAATCTGATTTTCTTAACCCCACTGGAGCACTAGGCATGTGATTGTTATTCTCTGCTTGGAAACATGCTATGTTTGAAATACAGCACCATGTGTCTCTATTGTTCATTGGCAGTAGCTGTCATGAATAGTTCTCAAAAATAAGTTTCACTGAGGGAAACAAGGAGTATTGCCTACGAAGAACTCCCACCATAGGAAAATAATAGACCACTGTCCCCAGCATTTTCAGACCCAATGGAGTTTTACTGCATTTTTATGGTACCAGAAAAATGAATGACTCTACATATTGCCCTATGGCTGCAATTTTTCTAACTGAATGAATGTTCTACCTATCCCACAGCACCTATAATGACACCTGACTACATTTGCTTTCCTCAACATCATGTGCCATATTTTCTCCTGTGGTTTTATGTATAAATACAATCTGATACTTTATACAGGGTGGGCCACTTAAAAGTAGCCTGCCTCCTTACTGCGACAGTAAGAACAGTGTGCAAGGGGCGACCACCTCCGCCTTGCTCGGACCAGAGGCGGGCTACTTTTAAGTGGCCCACCCTGTATTATATTTTGGGTCTTCATGTAGTTCTTTGCAGCTGTAATATCCCTTCTTTATCTCTGGTGTGTATACACATTTATGTTGGCAGTTGCTTTCAATAAACCTGCATTCAGTTTGTGAATGTTTTCATCAAATTGAAGCTAGGAAAGAATTCATGGGAGTCCTGCAGAGCTTGACAATGCCTGCAAGGATGATTGGGCAACCAATTTGCAATCTATTCTTGAAATGCTTGATTGCTGTTTATGACCTTTATTGATTGCATTGTTATCATAGTTGAATCATAATTTCTGTAATCATTATTAAATGTGTGTGATGCAAAACCATATTCATCCATAGCTTTATCTTATTTTGTGCATATAGATGGAACCAAATTATGATCAGAGCTGGCTCTGGATCACATCTCAATTCCATTCTTCCTTCACTGTGATTTGTAATTACTGACTGTTCTGTGTTAAGTCCATTGATATGCTGACTGCTGTGATCCCTGGCTTCTAACATTGTTGACGTAAAGGAGAAAAAAATGGGTGAAGACATGGGTGTGCAATGGCTGTATGAGCTCCTGCAGGAAGTGCAGCTTGAGCAATTTTTTGTTCGCATTCGTGATGATCTCCAGGTCAGCACTTGTCTAGTCAGGAGATTAGGAGATGTTACCTTACCTGAATGACATCCAACTTTCTCTGTGATGCAGATCACCCGCTTGTCCCATTTTGAGTATGTGACCCCGGAGGACCTGGAGAAGATTGGGATGGGAAAACCAGCTGGAAGGAGACTCTTGGATGCAGCCCGGAAGAGGAAAAACCAATCCTGGAAAAAGTCACTTATCAGCAAGATTATGCCAGGAACATCCAGCAAGACACCAAGCCCTAAGTCCAATACATCTTCATGTGTCAACCCACAAGAATTCTCTACTTCTTCCCTCACCTGCCTCATCAAGGACCAAGTTGGTTCATTAATCATGAAGCTTTTTTTTGTGTTGGCAGATTTTATCATGACTTCAGCATGCTAAAAAATCAGCATGGAAGTAATAATTGATGATTCTGCTGAACTGATAACATGGTTGGATCAGTATGCAATAATATGTACCAGATCGTTCAATGAGTAAATTATTCATATCAGCACAATGTTTCTTTGGTCTTTAAATCTTAAGCTCATTCTTTATCCATCAAACCTGGTACCAATTTATATATTAAAGAATTGTGTTTGTGCCTATGATAGGATGTGGTGCTGGGGGTAAAACTGGGCGATGGTTCATTTGGAGTTGTGCGTCAGGGGGAATGGAAGACTCCAACTGGTCAAACCTTGCCTGTTGCTGTCAAGGTCCTCAAACAGGAAGCACTTGCCCAACCTGGTGCATTTGAGGACTTCATCAGGGAAGTTCAGAGCATGCATCAACTTCAGCATCCTAATCTTGTCCAGTATGCAACACCACACTTCACCTCAATTCAAATCCTATTGTGAGCCTGTGTGAGCTATGCATTGCATCTTTATTTATTCTTTCTCAGGCTGTATGGTGTGTGCTTGTCCCAGCCCCTAATGATGGTCACAGAGTTGGCTCCTCTGGGTAGCCTGCTGGACCGTCTCAGAAAGCAGTGTGGAAACACACCAATCAGTCAGCTCTGTCTCTATGCAACACAAATTGCTGTTGGTATGGCATTCCTTGAGAGCCGCCGATTCATCCATCGGGACCTTGCTTGTAGAAATATTCTTCTGGCTTCACCTGACAAGGTAGCTCAGGCATTTCATTAAACAGTGAAATTGTTTTGAATTGCTAGCACTTCACACAGAGTTGCCTCTTTTATGATACAGATAAAGATAGGGGACTTTGGCCTGATGAGGGCACTGCCAGTCCAAGAAGATTGCTATGTCATGACTGAGTCCAAGAAAGTACCATTCCCTTGGTGTGCACCTGAGAGTCTCAAAGCAAGACATTTTTCTCATGCATCTGACACATGGATGTATGGTGTGGTTCTTTGGGAGATGTTTACATTTGGAGGAGAGCCCTGGATGGGTCTTAGTGGAGCACAGATTCTTCAAAAAATTGATGCCTTAGGGGAGCGATTGCCTTTACCAGATGCATGCCCAAATGACCTGTACCAACTCATGCTCCAGGTAGTTCAACAGAAGCAAATTTGTTCATGAAAAGGGTATTGGTTGAAGACTCATGTAAAGTAAATGTTTTGATTATTTTGTGCATACTGATAGTGTTGGAGTAAGATGCCCTCAGAAAGACCAACATTTTTGGCCCTGAAAGACTTTATCTCTGAGACACAGCCAAAGACCTTCAAAGCTGTTCATGCCTTCCATGAAGATGGGAAAATGCGAGTGGAACAGGGAGATGCCATTATTATCATTGAGGGAAAGTGAGTCTTCACATTCACCTGATGTTCATTTCATACCACTTTAATTACAAGTTCTGCTGACTTACATCAAGCTAGAATTCTCCGAATTCCACGGTTTTGATGTTCTTCACTTGCTTTATGTTCACATATCAAAAGTTCAACTTGGGCAACAGGATCAGCTTTCAATGACTTTATTCAATGTTCAGCTTGTTATTATCAGCACTTGATCATGCTTACAAATTTCAGGCCTGAGCACTATTGGTGGAAGGGTCAAAACCAAAGAACTTATGAAGTTGAGAAATTCCCCCGATGCATCTTGGATTCTCAGAGGCGGAAAACAACAGATGATATCAGCAGGCCATTACGAAATTCTTTCATTCACACTGGTGAGTGTTCTTTAATTGAAGTTTTCCCTTATTTCCAGCTTGAATAATCAAATTGATGACTATATTTAAACAAGGACATGGAGGGATACAAGGTCCCAGCTGGGGTTCCCCCGCATTCATAGATGAGGTATATTTACGAAACCCACTGGAACCCCCAGACCTCATGGGAATCCCTGATGATGATACACAACCTCCTCCCAGATTACCTGATCGGAGAAAGAGTATGAGTAGTTTTGCATTTTCCTATACCTACTTGTTTTGTAAACTATGAGAAGATGACTAGAGGATTGCATTGTAGAGCCCAAGAATGAGCTGGTCTCGATACTCCCTGGTGGTCGAAATCGCCAGTTTACCTATTCAAGACTTCAGAATGATAGAGAGAGCAAGGTAATGAAGCTTCGAGACCAGGTCCCGCACCTCCCAGCTGATCCGGCAGATTCTATGAATGGAGATCCTGCCAAACACGGGTTGGAGCCTGAGGTGTTGATTGACCTAGCAGAGTCTTCCCTTGAGGTTCCTGCTGATCAGGTTTCAGACAATACCAGCTGGTCCACTGCCTTTGAGGAACCTTTCAGTGGAGATCCCTTTGATGGGACCCAATTTTCTTCACCTCAGAGCCCACCTGCATCTCCAGCCAATGGTGAGGACAACTGGGACTTTTCTTGATTTCCCAATTGGCAAATTGATTTACATGTGAAATAGTTCTCTCTCAGTATACTTTCATTTTTCTGCTTCATCATGCATCCAGTGTTTGAAATTATAAGGGACCACATTTTTCTTAGACTATTTGTGTTTACCTAGAGTAGTTTAAAATGATTTTAAACCCCCATACCTATCTGATTTATTGAAATGTTTGTGCTGCAAATAATACTTGATTTTTGCAAATGACAGCATATATGGTTTTTGTGCATTTAAATTGACCTTTAAGTATTCATGATTCTTGGCTGCAAAAAATTATTTAAACTTGTTGGGTATGTTATAAAGCATACAGCATATTAGAAAGCCAACAATCTGAGATGAAGTTCACTTTACATCTATTGATAATTTGGTACTATGTATACTCATAGGTGATGATCAGATTCCTTAATCCAAATTTTTATTTTCCAGGCAAAAATTCCAACTACCACACATACTTAAATCTTCCATCGGAAAGTGGTGGGAACCGATATTATTCAACAGTGCCGCAAGAGACCCTGTCCCCAACAGGCTATGCATATCCCATTTCATCAGTGTCTGGACCAATCCCCATCTACCAGTCACCTGCTGCTGCTGCTGCCAAGTCTTTCTCATCACAGAATCTCAGCAGTGTGCTGGTCAACACAGAAGAGATGCGGTCCAGACGTGACCGTGCCCTGGATTGGCTGAACACCTCCATCCAGGAACTTGCTGCCAACCATGGTGTGACACATGGTTCGCTACGACTGGACTGGACCACCGATCATTCTGCTTCAACCATGTTCAATCCTTGTGCTGAACGGAATTCTGTGCTTCAGCCAAGCTCATTGACCAATGGCAATGCTACTCTTCCTCGTGCAATGGCAGCATGTGGGAATGTGGTGATACCCTGTCTTCCTGCCCCAACATCCTCAAGAGACAGAAATCGGAATCGCTATGCATTCCAGATGGATTCAGCTTGGGCTGCTGATGAGGTGAAGAGAATGGGATTGAGGCCAATGTTGGGGAGACGAGCTACAAATGGGGCCCAAGCTACCAATGTAGCTCAGGTCTCTCCTCAGCTTCGATCACCAGAAGTGGATGTCACTGCCCATGCTCTTGCCCAGGTATAATTATATTCAACCTTCACCACCTATGCTATACATGTGTGAGAATCAGGAAGGATGTGGAATGTAGTTTCTCCGTGATCATATGAAGCTCCAATTTTGTGGGAGGAAATTTTTTTAATAGTATCAAGACATGAAATTTTAATGAACTCCATTGTTGAAGTGATATTTTTATGTGAGCCTTTCTTAAAGTAGACTTATTCCACTAATGTGACAGCTGGCAGTGAGAAGGAATTCCATGGAGGATCATGGCAAGAGAACAGGTACAATGGCTGATGCATTTCTGGTCAGTGAAGTGCTGAAGGAGGTGCCAGGAATCTCAAAACAAGAAGCCCAGGCAGCCCTGGAGAGGAAGAACAGTGACATCCTTGGAGCCATCCGGTCCCTCAAGGTTGATAAGCTGACACGGTCAGTCAAATGTCCCAGAATTAACATATCATAATTAAAATGGGATATTAATATGAAAGTTTGTCTCTTTCAGGCTTGGCATTGGAACAAAGGATGACTGTGAACAGGTGCTGGAAAAGCACGGGTGGGATCTTGACAGATCCGCTTCTGTACTCTTAGATCAAATTTGAATTATGCATCTTTGCGGCTGCTATGAAAAATCCCTATACCTCTTGGTGTTCTCACTTCCTAAGTTCCTTTAGCATGTTATACACTTGTCTGTGCATTTTCTGATTTTGCACCCTGTTCAGGGGAGGATCTGGTTTGAGGCATCCATTATGTTTCCTGAGATGCATTTTAGTTATTTGCATGGAGTTCTCATATTTTGTTACCAAGAGTTCTTGTTGAATTCAAGACTTGTCCAGCACCCATTTTTCATACTTACACACACATGCACCCTTGACTCTTGCATCATTTTCCCTACTTAAATACTGTAATTCAACTTGCTCATATTAGTCATCTTCCATTGATCTCCCTTCTTCCTACCAGGTACCTCTTCTTTCCTTTTTCAAAACAACTTCATATCCTTCTTCGTACTTCTTCCCCCTTTGACTCAATGACTTGTTTGTGTGCTTCAAGCAACTCATGACTCTGTTCATAAAGAAGGATGATCTGTCTAGAAGAAGCTATTGACTGGGTTTGGGCTTGTTCTTGTGATGACTCCATGGCTTTAATCCCCGTTTGATCTTTCTCACTGTGACGTTCCAATTAGGGTTGCCGGCTGGGAGATTCCCGACTGGAGTAATATTCTATATTTTTCCATGTCAATTCACTGTCCACCTGGTCCTGTTGAATGGTGGTTTCAGTTCATGAAGAAAGTCTTCATAAGTCTTCATTAAAGTCTTCATTCCTATTTATCTGTGTGCAATTTCCCATGCCTCAGAAGATATTCTTTAGGCCTATGGTCCTTTTGACTGAAATATACTAGTATCTTTTTCTATGAAACTAAGGAAGACTTTCTCTGCTCCAAGACACCCCATGGACTTCGTGAATCTTATATTTTTTATGATGAAGAGTTTAATGGATTCCTGCGTTTGCATCAAGGAACTCATCCATGGTACATAGGTCCATGCTACACATTACCTTTCAGTGGCGTTGAGAAGAATATGATCGATATTGAATACTTCAACATTTTCACATGAAGACACTGAACTCTTGTTTATACGTATTGGGAGGGATACTTACACTGCAGGTGTAAGTGCTTAGGGCAAGTAGTTTTTTCGTCCAACTTAGGCAGAACTTACGAAACGAAAGAGCTCTTCAGTAAGCCTTCGGGAATTAGTTACACTCGTTGAAAATGAGAACAACGGTGAGAATTAGCTCATTGGAAAAAAAAAATCCTCTAGTGAGGGCTGAACGAATTGCCAGGAACGGAGGGAACCCCCTTCAAATCCCTCTTTTATCTTCTCAAGTGCTGCTAAGTCAAAAGTGATGAGATTTTCCGAAAATGTCGCTTGTGTTGAATTTGACACCTTGCGGTAACAGAATTTGGAGGAAGTAAGGAAAGGACGGCGAGTTCCTTCATTAGCTATGATAGTTTTTAAAAAATTGTATCGCATACATTTCTGTAAGAACTTTTAGTTGCACTGCTGAAATTGGACCATATTTGATACCCTTCTAAATTATATTGGCTGTTTTTACTTCCATGACGTCATTAATTTAACTTAAAAAATAAACTGAGTAGGGTTGTCAGAGAAGGTCCTGAGGTTTTAGTTTTTATTCTGCTAAATTTTTCGTACATAAGATACTTTTAATGGTCAATTTCACAACAAAAAATGGGTCACTTTTGCTCTTAATTTTATTGTAAATTAATCTGTGACAGTTTATTTTAAAATTTTCACCCATTTCTCAAGCTAAAAATTCATCGCAACAACGGTTCCCGACGATAATTTTTTTTACACGTCTGCAATGCGATCACGCCGAAAGAAGCTGCCACTCAGCAATGTTATCCTCCACCGCGAATCATCTCTAGGCCTGAAACGGATTTCCTCCTCCACGAAGAACAGCGAAGCTCGACCTCCATTCCACAGAGCCCAATGGAGCTTTCGACACTTTCATCCGGGTATTAATGACACTTCAAGCGGGAAAGTCTCGCCGGAAGCGTCTCACTCCTTGCCGCGATGTTTTCGGATAATTCAGGTGAAAAGCGGCCGAGGGGGAAGTGCTGGACTATTTATATTTTATGTTTATATTCATTTTATCAAGTCGTAAGCATAGGTGCACCAACAGGGGGCTGGGGGCGGCCGCCCCCTCCCACGAACGAACATGGGGGGTGAAAGGTTGGCTTTGCCCCCTACGAAAAATTAGACATCCTAAAAACATTCCTTTGCTTTCTTAACCAACCCCCCCCCCCTTTCCCTCCCCGGTGTCAACTGAGCTAAACTGATGAGTCGGAGGGGAGGGCGGGAAGGCGTTCTTTGCTCCACACCCTCATCAAACATGGTGCGTCTTTGGTCGTGAGTATGAATACAGGGCGAGGCAATAGCTGCCCGAAGTTGGAGTTTGGTTAAAACTTATTTATTCTTGCCTAGTTTTTGTTTCCATTGTTACTTAATATTTTCCATGGTCCGAAGATATATTGTGTTTTGTGCTATAATTATAATAAATATGATAAAACTTAACCACTTACCAGTATTTTTTTGCAATGAATTGCGCCAAAAATTTCAATTTTTTATCGGTAGGTTTTGATTCTATAGGCATTGTTTGAACAAAATATGTATGTGTAACATTTTTTATTCATTTATTTGGGCAAATCAAGAAGGAAATACGAGTCGCCCGTGTCTCATGCGGGCAAGTCGGTTTTGGGAAGAACAACGTCGCCCACATCAAAGATGGGCAAATCACAGAAGCGGTTAAATTAAAATGTTTTCTTTGGTGCAACTTTTCCCTCACCTTGAATATATAAATTTGTATACGAAATCGTTCTCTGGGACTGCGAGTTGTGTATCACTGCTAAAATTGAAAAAATAATTTCACGAGTCTCAACTCGCTTTGCCAAGGGATCACGTACGCATTTATTTACGACAGATTAAATTTATTTTTGTGTCTTGGTCGAGAAAATAATCAGACTTGAACGGATAAAGGGCTGAAGACTGCTTGAAGATCGAGGCTTTCGAAGGCCCGAGGAATTTTTTTTTTATTCCTTGTTTAACTGCGAAAAAGCCTCCCTGCCATCGCATCGAACGTTCAATCAACATTAATCGAATGTTGATTCAACGTCTGGATGTTGACCCGATGCTGATTCCATGTTGACCTAATGGTACGTGCCACTCGGGTTCTCCCATTTTTTTCCTTGCGGAAAATAAGCTCTGCATCAGCACATAACGCTCTTCTACGGATTGAAGGGGGGGGGGGGGGGGGGGGGGTAGAAGAGCGTTATGTGCTGATGCAGAGCTTATTTTCCGCAAGGAAAAAAATGGGAGAACGGAAACGAAGAAAAATGAGACTGTCGTGAGGTATACAGGCGAAAGGTCTGAAGAATGAAGTCCGCGTCGCCTCATTAGCGGGGGGCGGCGAGCGGAAAACGGGTCTTTTGTCACTCCCGACGATTTTTTCCGATGAAAACGTCTGAGTCCGCGAAAAGAAATATGTGGGGACAAGGGGAGAAACGAACGAAAGCTCAGAGAGCTCTACAGATTTCCCCCGAGAGGTCTAGAGGAGTCTAGAGAGGTCTAGAGGAGTCTAGAGGGGTCTGGAGGAGTCTGCCCGAGACAAATGGTCGGCCATCACTTCCACTCGAGGAAAACCTACAGGATTAATCTTTTTTTTTCTTTCTTTCTTTCCGCTATTGCTCGGGCACGAGGCTGCCCGTAAAAAGAAATTGGGAAATTAATCCTGGGAGTTCCCGGCCGAAGTCGATTCTTCCGGGTTTTTTTTTTCAGCGATCGCTTTGGGATCTGAGTGGCATCGAGGATTCCTCGAATCTGAGGAATCTAAAAAAAAAAATCCCAAGTCAGAAGAATGAATTAGTTTTCGCGCTTCAAAGGAATCGGAAGGAAAAGGGGGGGGGAGGGGAGGAAGCAGCAGGTTTTCTCATCTCGTCACGAAGAGGAAAAAGGAAGACTTGGCTCTCTTTCCTCTTTCCGCTTCCGAGTCATTTCCTTAACGACTTTTCTGGCCGGTGACCGAGGATTAGGCCAATAAATTTCCATCCCTTCCGAATTCATTAAGGCTTCTTGCACGTCGCCGCGGGAGACCCCGAACACCCCGAACAGCCCCAAACGACGATCCATTCCGAACCCCAGGAATGGCCCTCATTCGTCTCGATGGACGGCATAGGCGTCATTCCGAGTTCGATGGGGGGAGAGAGGGGGGGGGGGGGGAAGACCATTGGTGGCTCTATCACTTGAATGATCCTCGCCTTAGCGCCAGGAGTCGGTGGTGCTCATCGTGGACGGAGACGCATTTCCCAATGAATTACTAGGGGATGGAGGCTTCCTTCCGCGAGAAGTTCAAAGGGAAAAGCTCGTCTTTCAGGTAAAGAAGGCACGCGGTAATGCGGGGTCGTTCGACTATTCCTTCACACGTCACAGATGCTGACGTGTCCTCGGGACGTGGTTATTTGGGATGAAGCGTGGCCGGGGGAAATTCGCTCCGGAGGAAAGAACGCGAAGCCTCGAGACGAGTTTTTCACCATCGAATCCAAGAATGCAATAACCAAACGCTCACCTCGCATCGAAACGGCAGGAGCCCCGACGAGACGGGAAAGGAACGAAAGAAACGACACAGGAGACCCCCGTCAGGACCGAAAAGGAGTAAGACTCATTGCCTTTCCCCCACTTTCCTTTTTGTGCCAAACGCCCTCGGCCATACGAGGCGTCGCCGCCCCCGCCTCTTCCGATCGCCTTGCGCAACGGGCATTTTCCACGTGTTCCACAACAGAAACTCGACGATCGGCACGTCGGCACCCCGATCCACGGCATTCCACACGGAATACATTACAGAGATACAGACGCAATATTTCATCCGGATAAAAGCCTCGAAAAAAAAAAAGATCTGCAAATTCCCTGCAAGCGAACGGAGAGCCTCGAGCCCGTCGAATCGCCTGGAATCCTCGAAGCAGAGCTTCGTCTCTTAATGGTCCCCGAAGCCCCCCCTGCAATATTGATGCCCCGCGAAACGACTCCCAAGCCGAGAGAGGATGGAATCTGTCGAGAGAACTCCGAGGATTTAGGAACGAAGAGCCTCGTCGAGTCGAAATGCGAGAGAGTCTCCATGTATCTTCCAACTCGAGATGAGACACTTGTTCCACATGCTTTTCATCCCCCATCACACTATGGCTCTCGCCGCTCTCGTACATATTTGAAAAGGAGGAAAAGGTTCTTCATCCGAGGAAACATGCTGTAACTCCTGAAAAATTCACGGATTCCTAATCGAGGCCGGTCGAGTTCCGTCTCGTCGCATTCAAACGAGAAACGCAGTCGGAATTCCAAAGAGCCATGTTCCTCATGGATGCAGCGGCTGCACGATGAGATCCTCCCCCCCCCCGATCTGCTCCCGATCGTTCCACCGAGTGCCTTCGTGATTTCACCGATTTTCGGCGAGTTCCGGCTCAAAGCGTTCGAATGAGCGTTTCCGATCGAACAACCGAGTGTTTCGGGAGACAATTTCGGCCGTTGTCGACGGTGCTCCACGGCGACATCCCTTCATCGGCGAGGGCTCTCGTGCTTCACGGTTCCGCTGTTCAGTACTTGTACTACACAAAAGTACTTGTAAACTGAGGTAAAAGTTCAGCAGAAAACAGGACAAAAAGACTCGGTTGGCAATCGGGTTTCGAAACAAAGTTCCGGGAAATTGTATGCTTTTTATGTGTGTGTGCGCGTATCTGTCTTGCTGCCCTTTAGAGACCCAAAAAAACCGATTTCCCTCGCACGCACAAGTACAAACGTCGGCTAAATTATA